GGGGGGCGGCCGGGCCGCGAGCCCCGGCAGCGGCACACAGCGAACGCGCGCGAGCGGGACCGCACCAACAGCGTGAACACGGCCTTCACGGCTCTGCGCACGCTCATCCCCACGGAGCCGGCCGACCGCAAGCTCTCCAAGATCGAGACGCTGCGCCTGGCCTCCAGCTACATCTCGCACCTGGGCAACGTGCTGCTGGTGGGCGAGGCCTGCGGCGACGGGCAGCCGTGCCACTCGGGGCCTGCCTTCTTCCACGCTGCGCGCCCCGGCAGCCCCCCGCCGCCGCCCCCACCACCCCCCACCCGCGACGGCGAGAACGCCCAGCCCAAACAGATCTGTACCTTCTGCCTCAGCAACCAGAGAAAGTTGGTGAGTGTCGCCCACCGGGCATCCGTGGGAAGAGAGGCGCGGAGGATGTGGTGGCCCCTGCTTCCGTAGGACCCTAGCTACTACCCACACCTGTCGGGCAGAGAGTGGGGCCAGAGGCAGGCAGAGCGCCCCCCCCATCCCCACCCACCCCCGGCCGCACCTGTGACCTACTGTGCCCCGGGACCCCGGGGAGGGAGGAGCACAGCAAGGGCCCAGCTGGAGCAGGCAGGGCTGGACCTTCCTGGGCCTTCCCCTCCCAGGGCCACAGGTTCCCACGGGGACCGAAGAGGGCCACCCAGGGTCAGGTGGGGGGGGGGGGGGGGGGGGGAAGCGGCAGTCTACGAAGCAGGGAGGCCACTAAAACTGTTAAGAGGCTGGGACCAGACCAGAGTTCAAGCGACTCTGGCCACCCACCCTGTCCCCGAAGGAAGGGGACATCACCCCCCTAATCCGTTGGCCCTGCCACGGCCCCTGGCGCCGGCCTAAGGCTTATCGGGCACCTGCTGCCTCTCCTCCTGCCCTGGCCCACACCCCTGGGGCTGCCCACTCAAGACCTCCGTGTGGCTGTGGGGTCTGCAGACAGGCTGGGGGAGAGGGGCACGTTGCGGGAGCGCTGGCCGGCTGTGATTTACAGCTGCTGCTGCTGCGCTCGGTGGCACCGGAAAAGCAGGGTGAGCAGGGAGAAAACGCGGCGCGGCTTTTCCCGATCCCCATTTCCTCTCCAGACGGCACGCGTGAGCTCCTGGGGCCTGAACATCTGGGAAACTTAATTTTACAGTTTCGGCTGTGCAGCACCGTGCTCTCTTCCCCAAAGTGCACGGGGACGCCGGGGTGAGCGCGGAAGGGGGTGCAGCACCCGCCACCCGAGACAGCACCCAGCGGGGAAGCCCAGGCGCGGGCTGGCACTGGGTCTCCACCCGGGCCCTGACACCACCCCCTCCCCTCTGCAGAGCAAGGACCGAGACAGAAAGACTACGATTCGGAGTTAGAGGCGACGCCGCTGGGCTCTCCACAGAGAGCCCCCCCGTGGACCCGACTCAGGCACAGGCCTCCTGTGAGGGCGCCTCAGGCTCCTCTGGGGCCAATGGACGGACAAGCGGTGGCAGGACTCTGCACTGGCCCAGCTGGCCCAGGCCCACTGGAACCTTCTGTGCTGGCTTCCTACCTGGGTTTTCTTCTGGTCACTACGTGCTGGTATTTTGTGTCTTTGATATGATAATATAAAGTCTGGAAACTTTGTATAATTAAAAACAAAACAGTATCGTCCAACCGTGGAAGCACTGTTTTCTGGAAGGTTCAGAATCCAGCCTGAGCCCAGCCCAAGACCACGCTCCCAGCTCTCAGGGCGGTCTCTTCATGCCCCATCCTCCCTGGGCCCAGAGGCACCAGCTCCCAGGGAAGGCGTCCACCTTCCAGGGGCTGGGCCGTCCCTCCCAGGCCTGAGCACAGCGAGGTACCTCCTCCCGGCCTGGTGGCTGAAGGAGACGGGTGGGGGAGAGCAAGGCTAGGAAAGGAGAGAGGGAGCCCACTGCCCCCACGGCAAGGGACCAAGCAGGGCGGCCTCCACTCCCAGGGCCTGCCTGGCGCCCATGCCTCCCCTGCAGGGGTGAGGAATCCAGGGCCGGCAGCACAATCATGCCAAGCCTTGGGGCCTCACCCTTTGCCACAGAGACCCAAGAAGTGGACACTCAGCCAAGAGGCTGAGTGAGGGGCACTGCCGTTGGAGCGGGTCTCCGAGCCTCGGCGGGCCTAAGGGTGCGGGCCAGATGGCACCCATCTGCAGGCACCCCGGGGTGCCCACCCCTGCGGGGGCTGCCCTGGCTCCCCCAGCCCTACACGCAGCCACTTGCAGCGCTGCTCACACGGAGAGGAACCCTGGCCGCCCACCGCCCTGCTCCGCCGAGCTCCTCCAAAGGCCCCACCTGCCTGTGAGGAGGGCAATTTCAGGCCCCCTCCCCGAGCTGTGCACAGCTGGCTGACCATTAAAATCCTGCAGGTGACAATTACGGTTTAGTGGCTCCAGCTCTGCTGGCACAGCACAGAAGAAAGGCAGGGGGCGGCCTTCCACGAGCCACCTCCCCCACGCTGGCCAGGCGGGCCAGCAGCCTGACTTCCGGCCAGACCGGGTAGGGAATGGCCGAGGGCGCCAGGTGTCGGCCCTGGGCCCTCCCAGCCCTCAGCACAGGCTCAGGGGCCCCCACTGACACACTCCCCCGGGCCCCGGGGAGAGGCCAGGTGCTAAGGCCCACGTGGGCACCCCAACAGGGCAGGCCCAGAGCTGCCCCCCTCCTCTGCACAGAGGGGCTCCGGGGACCTGCAAAGCAGGAAGTGGTGGAGTAATTCTGGAGGAAATTCTCAAAGCCAGAGCCATTAAGGGCTAGAGGGGGGCTCTGTCCAACGTGATAGAAATATAACAGGATAAAAAGTCGCCACGGCAGGTTCCATTCGGAGAGAAACCCAACCCCAAATTTCCTTTCCTTAATCCTGCAGGAGCCTACAGCTGGCCAGAGGAAGGAGGGAGAGGGCAAGCCGGGTCACTGCAGAAGCCCCCACCCCACCCGCCTGCCTGGGGAGCCAGGACCCAGGCCGGAGACACGGGGGTCCAGATGGGGGGCTGAGAAAGGCATCCCCTCTCCTCCCAGGCGGGACCTGGGGGAGGTGTCCAGGGAGGCAGGTGTACCCCAGGATCTTTGTGCTCACCCCCCTGCTTCACTGGGCACCGGGTGCGGTTCTGTGGGGGTGGGGGGAGGGGGCATGGCCCACCTGCCCCTCCCCTACTAGAATCACATCTCCACACCCGAGCCTGGATGGGGGCCGCAGACCCCCCTCATGAAGCCCCCCAAAATGATGAGTACCCGAGCGGGCGCCCACCTTGCGACCACAGCGCAGTGCCGCACCCACACACGAGGCTGAGAGCGCAAACGGAGGGGACCCCGAGCCCCAGAGCTGACGGGGTGTCAGGAGGACCCTGCGGGGGGTCTTCTGAATCCGGAAAACGGGTGGGAGAAGACAGAAGGATGGTCCCCAGAGACCCAGCCCATCAGGGCCCAGGGCACACAGGCCCAGCTCTCCACGGCAGGCCCTGTGACTCCAACAGTGGCTGCAGCTTGGCCGACTCAGGCCTGGGCAGTGGGCCCGGCGCTCCCCGAGCTGCACCGGTAGCAGCGGCGGCGGCAGCGGCGGCGGCGGCGGCGGCGGCGAGGGCCTGGCCCGCCAGCCAACAGGAGAGAGCGGAGGGGCGGGGGAGGAGCGCTCCGTCACCCTTCACTGCTCCAGAAATTCAAACCAGACAGGGGGGCGGGTGGCGGGGGTGGCGGGCCAGCCAGAGCCCGAGCCCAGCAGCCCCACCGGAGTCCACTCAGCTACTACGGCGGCTGGGCCGGGGCGGCAGGTGCTCTGTGCCCGCTGCAGGCCCTGCCTCCCTCCCAAAAGGCCAGCCTCGTCGTCCACTGAGAGGGACAAAGACCCCGGATTCCCTGCGTGCGCGCCCCAGAGACAGCTGGAAAGGAGGGGCCGAGCCCGCGCCCTGGGCCAGCAGCCGCCTCTGTGGGCCAAGCTGGGCTGGAAACACTCCGATCGGCCCCGGCTGTCAGCTCCCTGTCCCCGGCCGGGGGAATGAGCTGCTGGCGGCACCACATGATTCATCACCAGGCCTCAGCCCGCAGGCCAGCCGGCCCCCACCCTGCTCAGCACCTGTGGGCTGCCAGGAAGCACATGTGACCCCGCGGGGGCAAGCACCTACCAACCCCTCCAGGTCAGGCACCGAGCTCGGAGTACAGGCTGAGGACACAGACACCCCCGTGCTCTCCTGGGGGGGCCTCTGTGCCCCAAGCACAAGCCTGTGGGATGAGGCCAGCGGGGGACCCCACCCCCCAGACTGCACCGGACACAAGCGGCAAGCAACAACTGGCTGATGTGTCGGCTGGGATTTTTCCGCTCTCGAGGAGCCCCTCCCCTCCCCCTCCCCAAAGTGGCTGCAGCTGTCAGGACCGCAGATTGGAACTGCAGGTAGGGCGCTGGCCGGCTGCCCACCTCCCTCCCGTGTCTGTCTGCGAGAGAGGAAGCCGGCCCACCTCTGGAATCCTTCACTCTCTCCTCGTTCTGCCTCTCCCACCTGTCCCCTGGGAGCGTGGGGTCAGCCGCCCTCGCTCAGGCTCTCTCTTTTCCCTTGCCCCTCTCCGATTACAATGCCGGCAGTGTTCGCTCCGCTCCCCCTGCACGAAGCTCCCGCCTGTCTCTGAGCACCACTCAGCCTTCCTGAGCCTCGGCCTCTCCTCGCTCCTCCATGGTGTTTAATCTGTCAGAGCCCCGGGCAGAGGAGGCCGGGCTGTGTGCCCCAGGCTCACCTGCTGCCTCAGAACCCATCGAAGGTTCCAGCAGGATGAGTCCTGGTTCACGGGCCAAAGGGAAGAAAGCCAGGTCCTACTTGGCCTCTTCCCGCCCCAAAGGCCAAAGCCAGGTGAGGAGACCCCAGCAGGGAGCTCGGAGCCACCTTCCCAAACCTCCTCCATCAGACCGCCACTCACATTTGCTAACCCAGGTAGCAAGGCACCTCCGCAGAAGCCGACCCCAGACACCATCACCCCCATCTGCCCGTCCCTCTCGAAAGTGCTGCCGGCCAGGCCCGCCGGAGCCATCACGTGCTAGCACAGAGGCCTCCAGCCCACTGCCTGGCCCCCTCGGGGTCCACGCGGTGGGCAGAGGGTGCCGAAGCTGCCCCAGCTCCCAGGTCTTCGGCTACCCCAGACCCCCACCCACCTGACCCTCTCCTGGGGCTGATCAAGGTGCAGTGAGCAGTCCCACCTGGGGCCCTCTGACTCTTGACTACCTGCAGGCAGGCGCTCCCAGAAACCCCTCTGGAGTGCTGCATGTGGGCCCAGGCTCGGGGCCCCCGGCTGAGTGGTGGAGACCCCCATTCCAAGACCCACTGTTCAAAGAGCTGCTGCTGCTTCAGGTCGGTCCCCAGAGCTCCACACCTGCCCCCATCCCATCTCCAGCGAGCTCCAGAATCTTACCCCGGAGGACTCCCCTCAGCCCCAAGCACTGCCTGCACACAGCTAGCCCCTACCTGTGGCCCCTGTCCCCAGCCCCCTCTGCAGTCACTACCCTCCCCCCCCCCACCACCTTTCCCTCCACAAGCCAGCAGCCACACCTCCAGCCCCAGGGCAAACCCTCGGGTCCCTCCAGGCACTCTCCCACCCACCTGCCCCACTGGGTTCCTGCTGCCAAGGAAACTGGCTCCAAGTGGGCACGAGCAACAGGCCGAGCAACAGGCCGGGGCCTCCACCACCCACGTGCCGTGGCTCTGAATCAGCCCCCCCTTCACCTGCCAGCGGCCACACGGGCCCCGCACTGAGAGACCCGGGGCTATCCCTGGACACGTACCACATCCCTCTTAAGGGACAGCTACTTCAGCCACTGCACGCTCCTCACTGCCCCCGCCCCCACCCCCGGGAGGGAATCCTCTCTCCTAAGGAAGGAGGAGGCAGCACTGGGGAGAGGAGGGCGTGCCTCCGACCGGGCACCGCAGGCCTGGCTCAGAGGCGGAGCCGGGCAGAGGCACCGAGGGGCACTCTGCGGTCACAGCCATCACATCCAGTGCACCCTGTGGCCACCACCTGCGAGGCCGTGGGTCAGACCGGCGGGAAGGGACAGACCAGAGCCTGGCCGGCGGCCCCGCTTGCGGGCCGGCTGTGGGGGTGTCAGGCCGACACGAGCAGGCTGAGCGCCGGGCGCTCTCCACAAACAGCCCGAAACCTGAGCCGACAGGCTCCCGCTGCCAGCAGCGACGCAAGCGCTCGGAGCGCGCGGGCGGCCAGGATGGGCGGGGCGGCGGCCCCGGGAGGAGCGGGAGGCCGCCAGCGCTGGAGGCAGCTGCCGGTTCAGTAGCTGGGAGAAGCCATTAACGGCCGTTTGGCGAGAGAGCAGAGGGGATCGCGGGCTCTGGATGCAGACAGGCCTGGGCTCGTCCCCGCGGGATCCCAAGTTACTTGGAGGCCAGGGCGCCGCGGAGCCGGCCAGGGCTGCAGCCCGGCCCCCGCCCGCCGCGGAGGTCTCTCCGGGCACAGGAGGGTCCCACGGTGGACAGGAGGGGGTCAGGCCCTGGGGCTCAGGGACTGGGATGAGGTGGATGCCTCCCGGTCTCCCTGGCCAGAGTTCAACAGCCACCCCTCACCTCTCACCTCTCGCCGGCCTCAGTTTCTCCCAGCTGCTCGGAACAAAGAGGGGCCCCGATGCCGCGAAGGCCGCCGGCCCCCTCCCCCCACCCCGCCCCACCTCCCCCGGGTCGGGCGGCTGGATGAGATCACGTCTGTGAGGTGCGGTGCCGTGGGAGAGGAGTGAGGTGGACGTGTGGGGGTGGGGTGGACACAGCCCGCGGCTGCTCCGGACTCCCCCCACTCCAGGCCCCCCGCCAGACCCAGCGGCACGTCCAGGGGACTTGGGCCCCAACGTGGCTTGGGATGGGAGTCTGGGGGACCGAGGAGGGCAGACGTACGGAAACAGGACTCAGACCATCCCACGAGGGTAGACTGCCACTCATCAGTCAGCATCTGGGGTGGGGGGGGCTCCCCAAAGCCGAGGCCAGCAGTCAGAGGGTCCAGAAGCCCCAGCACACACCAGCTCAGGCCTGAGATCCAGACCCAGGGGTGGGGCGGGGCGGGGCAGGGCCCAGGGGAAGGGACTCCAGGTGTGGCCACCGCACAGCAGCATCCAAGAAGATTCTCTCTCCCAGGAGCACGAAACCCATGAGGACACCTCTGCCGCCGGCCAGAGCCCGAGTGGGGTCCACCCGGTGCCGACCACCTCTAAGCACGCTGCAGGGAGAAGGTGTAGCTCTGACACCAGGAATGTGCCCGGACGGCGGCCCCCGAGCCCTATGCTCTGCGCCGGGTCTGTTCAGGTGCCCGACGGGACCCCTCGCCGCCTGGCCCCCAGGCCTGTTCCCTGAAGCCCACCCCGCTTTGCCAGGATGGCAGAGACACCCACAAAGTCAGCACGGCAGGACCCGGAGCACCCCAGGCACACGTGCTGCTCAGGGAAGCGTCCGCTGGGCCTGGCGCGGCTCCTGAAGGCTGGGCTCTGCCGCCCCCTCGAGCCGCAGGCCGGCTGTGCTGGCAGAGCTCAGGAAGGCGGGCATCGGGCCCCCTCCTGTCACTCACACATATGGGATAGTCATTGCCAGAGGAAGCGGCCCCCGCAGGCCGGGCCGGGAGGAGCGCCTCCCTGTGGGCAGGCCGAGGCCCCTCCCCCGCCTCTGCACTCCATTTACAACCATCATCGATTTCTCAAAATACCAAATATAAAAAAGTAGCCGACAGGATGTGGCTGCCGACAGCCAGAGCCCCTGGGAGGGGGGAGACAGGCAGGGAGCCGCACTGCGCTGGCCCCCCCTCACCGTGTGCGCCCGCTGCTCCGGCCAGGAAACCAATTTATTTTGTTTTGTCTCTGTTCTCTAAACGCACAGAGGCCAGATCGGGCGGGCAGCCAAGGCTCCTGCAGCCGCTGCCAAGAGAGCGTGAGGGTGGGGGTGGAGGCCGAACAGGGGAGGGGGCGCGTGCCTCCCCAGGCCCCGGGACAGCCCCTGACAGGCAGCTCTGGAGGGCCGCTGTCCCTGCAAGCCATGCGCCAAAGCCATCCCCCTGCAGCTCCAAAGAGGCACACACCTGGGCGCCCACCAGGGCCCTGGGAGGCTCGGGGCCACAGCCCTGCCAGTGACTGGGACACACGTGGGAGGGGACAGGCAGGAGGAGATGGCCACCTCCGGGCTCAGAGCTCCTCAGCCTCCAGCCCTCCCACACCAGGCAGGCCCAGGGAGCTGAGCCTCTGGCCCACACACCAGGGCCTCCGGACGCCAGACTGGGCACCACTTGCCCACCGCCACGCTTGTCCCTTCAGACGACAAACGTGAAGGAGCTACCGGATTCACTGGAGCCACATCAGTCCACTCCTCGAGGACACCGAGGAGAGCGGGGGCGGAACACCCAAAGGCCACCCACCTCCTGCCCTCAGCACCCAGACCCGTCACCCCCCGAGGCCCAGCACAGGCCAGCTGGTGCGACAGAAGCCACCCCTGCCCCAACCTCTCCGTGCCCACCGAGAGCACAAGCACAGCCTCCGCAGAGCGCACGGGGGACCCCAGCATCAGGGGCCGCCCCACAGACACACCTGGGGGTCCACCGCATCACATTCACCCTTCCTCCTTTCCTAGTGATCCCACACACACTCACCCTCCTGCAGACAGGTGTCCTGACCCCAAAATCGCTCTCCCAAACCACGAGTGGGGCCCCTCACTGTGGCCTGACTCCTCTGTACCCAGCACAGCACAGCACAGCCCCCCTGGGGAGGAGGCAAGCCCAGCCCGCACCTCCTCATCAGAGCTGTCTTCTGCGTACTCTTCGTAGCCCTTCGCTCTCGCCACCTCTGTCCTTGGGGAAGGGATGCCAGCCTGTAGAGAGAAGGGACAATTGTGATGTCAGGATGTGATGCCCTCTGACCTCGGACAGAGCCCAGGCCCGAAGTCCCTTGGCCCCTCCTTGGGACTGGAGGCTTGGGAACAAACTATCCCTCTTGCTGATGCTGAGGCCGAGGTTCCCGCCGCCCCCAATCTCTAGGCAGTTCCAACCTGGCCCTGGGCCTCAAGACAAGATCAGGGTCACCCCAGGTCTAAGCAGGCCTCATGGGCCTCACCTGGGGTCCTGTCAAGGGCCAGCCCCGTCACTACATTCAAGTTCCTCCAAGGAAAGACCCCAGGGAAGGGCTGACACCCGGTGCCAGACTGGAAAAGGAACAGTCAGCAACAAAGCCACCAGCTGAGGGCCTGGCCACCCCCGCACCAGTTAACGAAAAAACCGGCTGCAGGGCTCCTGGCCCGACAGCCCCTACCCGGCCCTGCCAGGTTCAGGAGAGCCCAGGGTCCAGGGGCAAGGTGGGAGAGGCCACTCGGGGGCAGCAAGTGAGGGCAGGGCAGGGGGGTTACCCACACCCAGGCCAGCCGCTCTGGAGGCAGGCCTGTGGCACCTGCTGCTGGTGGTCACGAGGCCACAGCCGGCTCGCTCCTAGGGCAAGACCCTCCTCCCAAGGCGGCCTCCGGTCTGCAGCAGCTGAGAGAGAGGCGCCCCCTAACCTGCAGAACGCTGCGGGGGACACAGCCCTCTGGCACCCACCCCACCCACGTGTCCACGGCCCCAGGCTGACCCCGGTCCACCAGGTCAGTGAGTGGGCGCCACTGAACGTTCACACCCTAACCTGGAAAACAGATCCTTCCCTCACGGGGTGGGGGGATCGGGTGTACCGGAACCAGGACTGATGGGGAAAACAGCCCTACCTCTCACTCCTGGGCGCAGTAAAGTACTCTGGAGCAGGAGCCCCCGAGCGCGGCACCCCCGCCAGAGCCCCGCTCCCCCTGACCGGGCAAGAGCCAAGGGCCTGCGAGGCGGCTCTTCCTCTCGCCTGTTTTTTCCCTCAGTATAAGGAGGGTGGGAGACTAAGTTTTTCTCCAGGCCAGGAACAAGGCGGGATTCGGTTTCCATGTCTCCCCCACCCCGCTCCCCATGCTGCATGCGCTGTGGGAGCCGTGCCCGCTAAAAGTGGGTCAGCACCGCCTGATGGGTGCGGGCCGTGGGTGGGGGGCAAGGAGGGCCCAGAGCTCTCCTCCCATCCTTGCCCGAAGGGAGCTCCGCCTGCAGCAGCGGCCCGGGGGCACACCTGCCCCAGGCTCAGGGCCGGGCACCAGGCCTCCTCAGCAAGTGCCCCCAATGCCAGGCCACGGCCAGCAGGTCCACGGTGGCGGCCCCGGCCAGGCTCCACGGCCGCCCACAGCACCAGGCCTGCTGATGCTCTCCAGCAGCACTGAACCCCGCAGAGCCCTACATCACCTGCGCCTCAGGCCATGGTCATGGGGTCCCCTTGTCCTCCAGCGCACCCCACATCGTCGTGTGCTGGGTGTGGCCAGCGCCCCGGGCAAGCGTGCAGGCACAGGGAGCCAGAGACAGGCCGGACCCGGCAAGGAGGGGCACCCCAGCAGCGGGCAGCAAGTTCCCACACAAAAGAGCTGGACCCCCAGCCCTCCTTGGTCTCTCTCCAGAAGTGGTGCTGCAGGCAGCACGGTGGCCACCAGGGGGCAGCAGAGGCGCGGGCGCAGCCCAGCTCCAGGATCCAGGGGCGGCTCCGGGAGCGACCCCTTCACAGCCTGGAGACCCTTTGCTGGGCATTCAGGAAAAGGAAAATTTTAAAAGACAACTTAAAAGGAACGTGAAACACAAAGGACGCGAACCCAAGAACGGGGGCCCCACCATCCTTGCCTCCTGTCTCTCACTCGGCGCAGCGCTGCCACCGTCGGAGACGGTGGTCCTCAGGCGCAGAATCCAGGAGGTCGGGGTCTGCCCAGACCCACACCGTCTGCAGGACACGAGCACCCACCTCAAGACAGGCTCAGCCCTGCGTGGCACTGCCCCCTCAATGTGCCCACACTGGACACATTGGTGGACACAGAGAGAGGCAGCCTTCTGTCGATGAGTGCCCCCCCGACCAGGGCACAGCAGGAGCGAAGGGCAGACCCGTGTACAGTGGCGCGAGGAACTGTGGGGCATCAGCAAAGAGGCCAGCAGCAGGCAGGCAGGCCGGGGGCCAGTGTCCAGGCAGGGCCAGAGGCACGCAAGGGCACGCCGAGCACTAGGGAGAGGGAGGCCGTGTCGACCGCCGGGCAGCAGGCCGGGACCACCTCGGAGCGGAACAAGCAGCAGGCGCCCCTGGGTGAAGGGCCACGGGGCAGACAGCACTGGGAGCCCGGGTCAGGCCGTGTCCCTGAATCCTGGGCGGCCTCTGGACCTGGTCCTCAGGGGAACTCGCTCCTGCTTCTCTACCCACCCCCAAGACTGTAACACACCGTAAAGACCGAGGCAGGGGCCCCGAAGGGGTTCTGACAGCCTAAATGGCATCTCATTGCAGCTGCAACAGACCCAGCCCGGCCACACCCCACTGCCACCGCCAAGCACGCATGTGACAACACAGGCTCCCCGACCTCCCGACGCGGGCTGTGCTGGCTCAGACTAGGTCAGCCAAGCTGAAACTTTGCTCCCTGCACGGCCCTCCCTGCGGGGTCCCAGGCAGGACTGCTCACAAGAGGGTGCTGTCAAGAGACTCAGAAGAAAGGAAACAGCAGCCACCACACCCTGAAGGTCCACAGGAGGTGTGCCGGGCTCGGGAGTGTCCCTGACACCTCGGAGCAGGGGTCACATCCAGAGCGCTACCGGTAACCCATGTTCTCAGCGACCCAGGGGAGGAGCAAAGACCCCGTGCACAAAGGAGCCTCCAAGAACCCGATCCGCAGACCCTCCGGACTGGCCCTCGCTGCTGCGGAGCCTCCTCAGGGCCCAGCTCAGGGAAGGGCCGGGGTCGAAGAGCTCCGTGCACACGCCCATGTCCACGCACATGCCAGTCTGACCAGGAGCACGGACTGACGCCGAGGAGGTACACGTGTTAGAGAACGTGCACCACCGGGGCCTGCCAAGGCCAGAGAGAACATGAGATGAGAACACCCCTCATTTCTCAGAGAAAAAGGAGGGAGACTCGGGGCCAGGGTCATGCCCCGGAGCAGGACCCGGCCCAGCACGAGGAGATGGTTGCCCTTGCCTGGCCAACATCAGGACACCAGAGACCGCTGACCATGCAGGGCGACCCGCTTCCCCATTTACAACAGAAAAACTGAGTGAGACTCGAAGCCACTGCTGCACGTGGCCGCAGGGGAGGAGGCCGAGGACCTGCCGGCACCTAGACCTGATTCACACGAGACCCTCGGGCCGAGGCCACGGCCAACACGGCCACGAGGTAAGGGTCCGAGAGGGATGGCGGGGGTGGACGCTGTAGCTGTTCCAAACCATAGCTGTAAACCTTTGACTTTCCTCCCATCAAGGGGCAGTCTACGTGCCCCCTCCCCAAATCTGAGTGGGCTTGTGGCCGGCTCACCTGTCCGAGGAGAGCAGCCCCGACTGACGATGCATGAATTCTGGATCCAGACCATGAAGCTCCTGCACATCTGCCCCATATAACAGACAGCCTGTCCTCAGAGCCCCGACGGTGGGGAACGTCCCAGACGGGCAGGCAGACTTGCCCAGTGAGTGCCCATCATGCAGGCTGCCCCAGCCTGGACACGAGTGGAGAGGCCCCAGATTTCTTCCTCGGGACCCTCACCTGAGCCCCCCAAACAAGGGGTGTGATGACTGATGGTCCTGCTAGACAGAACATACCAGAACCCTGGAGGGACACGGCTGAGGGAGGCTGTGGGACCCCCCCCCCAATCCCGCTGACGACGTCACCCGGACACGACAGCACCTCACCCTGCCTGAACTCTGATCCCCAGAAATGAGAGTGCCACAAAATGTGTCATGCCTGGAGGTGGCAGGGCAGGTGGAGGAACCACTGCCTCCCCTCCCCCACGGGGCCGCATCCTCGCTCCTATGGTAGGCGCTCCATTAACTAGCTGGTGACAGTCATCGGACGTGCCCCCAGCTGCCTCCCACAAGCCACAGCTCCACCGGTGCCAAGACCCAGGCGGGCCCCTTCTGCCCGCAGGTCTGCAGCACACAACAGGCAGAACTCTTCCTGAAATACCTACAGAACACTACTCACGGGCACGATCACTTGTACGGTCACATTCTTGAATGCGGTGAGCAGACTACTGAGCCAACAATGGGAACTTCTGAACGAAAGACAACAAAGTAGGAAAACCCCACGTAAATGAGGACCCGAGTAAACACAACAAGGAGGAAAAATGGGCCCTAAACAAGCACAAAAGGGTAAGACGACTTTCAATACACAAATCCACTCGACGCAAGTAGTCCAGAAGAAGCACGAAGACCTCACCTTTCCCAGGGGACCGCAGACAGCTGCTGCGGAGGACGCCGGCAAGGGGGCACGCTCCCGCCTGCCAAGCAGGAAGCCAGGGATCCGGGAACAGGGAGGGCAGGGGTCGGCGTGCTGGGGACGGGGGGAGCCTGAGGAAGCTCCCCGTGCCTGAGAGTGGACACAGGAGGGACGCAGGCAGGCGGCCGAGAGCCAGGGAGAGGCTGGGCGGGGGGGGGGGGGGGGGCGGGGGGGGACCCCCCCCACACAGGGAACACGCAGCACAGGGCCCCTCTACAGCCTCCTTCAGTGACGCGTGTGCCGAGGACGGTCCGGCTGGGGCAGGCTTGCAGACGGGCCATGCACAGAGTGAGGGGCAGGGGCTGGGCCCCACCCGGGCCTTGAGCTGGAGCCCGTGGGGAGCAGAGGGCGGGGCTTGGGGAGGGGATGCAAGGCCCCCAACGCCAGGGGTCCACACGGCACTCCCTGACCCACGTGAAGGGGAACAGAAGTGGGGCCTGCAGAGCCTGACCTTCGAGAAATAGGACAGTGATGGAAACTGTGTCTTGGGGGGCACACAGCCGGAACCATGCTCCCAGAAACACA